AATGTACGTTGGTGATTGGTTGTAATGAACATTAATCATACAATACACGCGTTTGTATTGATATCTTTTTTATTGTAGTAACAATAACAATAATAATAATAATAATAATAATAATTGTACTTTCTTATTCAATTCAAATTTGTAAAGTTAAAATTCATTGATGACGTTTTTAATTGAGTTCAAAAAAAGTTTATCTAGAACCTTTTTTTCAAAATACCGCAAAAAAATCCATAATAACGTGTTTTATTATAAATGATCAAGTCATAAGTAAAGGGTAGTAGTAACTAATAATAAAGTTTGACAGATCTACTTCCTTATCGAATAGTTCAGGTTCAATAAAGTGGTACGAGTTCAGTTCAAGCTCAGAGTTAAATTAAACTTGAACCAAACCAAACTGAACCTAGGAACGAACATATATGGAACCCAGCGGAGAATATAAAAACGGGAGGGGAGGTCGGGCGCAGGAACCAAGTAGAATAAAGTACACCCCCGCGAGCTAATTTACAGTTGTGTTATTTTTAAATGCTTGCGTTTTATGAAAGAAATAAAGTAGGTGATATTTGTAAAATTATCAATAACGTGATACATGGTCAAAGTAGATAAAATCATCAAAAATATTATTATCATGAATTACTTACTTTACGTTCCAGGAATCGCTCAACAATCAACTAATTTTAGTGTGAAACTTCAATTTTTATGAGATATATATTGTGAGATTGCAACAATAAACCTTTCACTTCCTATATCATATATGTATTATTATTATTACGAATAACTATGATTTGAACAACTTCTGCTTTTCGCTTGAAAAAAGTTTGGAACATTGTCATTATTTTAAATAAATCGTTCCGTAAAAGCAACAAGTGTAGTACCTTGGTATAATTGTGGAGCCTTGGCAAAAGGCTACGTTTTATTTACTTTAGTAAGCAAGCATAGGTTACGACTAACTAGTGAGTGTTAGACTAACAGTTAGTTCAAAGATTAATTGAAAATCCTGGTAATGTTATTGTAGTCGTAAACATAAGGCTGTTAAATAAGCTGCTTAGGTTGTTCTGTAAATAAATCAAAGTGAGTTTTAATTGGCCAAATAAATATAAACAAGGATAGATGACTGAAATAAAACCACAAGTGAATAAAGAAACTTTATAGAAGCCTTTGAGATTTGTAAAAGAGCATTCTTTATTATTTATAGTTATCTGATACTATTAAACATGCCTACAGATTTGCCAAAGTCTTCTAGGTGTGAGAAAGTGGCAGTAATTGAAAACCAAAGTAAATTTTAAATTTATCATGAATTTCTTGCAATTAGCTGACAAGAGTAACCCCAAAGAATAAGCCATAGTTGGCCATACATGTTAAATAATAGGTGTTAATTGAAATGCTACCTAACAATATCATCACCATTTAACAAGTATTAAAAGACAAAATAAAAAGATAAACAATTATTACAAATAAATTTATAGTAGAGTTATTCATCAATTATTATTATTATTACTAGAATCTAAAGTTATCGATAACTGCGCTCATTGCATTTGCCAGTTCGTTTATATAAATACTCTTTTATAAATTTGTAATCTACGGAAAACCTTCTTACTTTTTTCCCACAAATTAATTTTAAATTTAATGAATAGTTAACACGATAGAATTTCACATCTATTATCTATGTTTTTGTGTACACTCACTCATTATCATCAAAAATCACCGGATAAGAAAAACTCAATTGAAAATTACAATTTTTAGGCAGGAAAACAAAAAAATATTATGTTAAACTGATATTAATATGATGTGTTAGAAAATGACCTGACGGTATAGCGATGTTGGTGAAACCCATGATTATAATACGATTGGCTAATTTGAATACAATTGATAGAGTGTTCTTATAGTATTGTGACACCAAAGAATATTGTTGATTTGAAAATCTAGCACTCGGCACAGCATTTGATGTTTTGCACTATTAATCGAGTGTCATCTTCTGCCGAATTCAGAAGCACAAATGATCTCGATGGCTCACTTTGCTTCCTCATTTGTAAACTTGCTGATAATGATTGATTCATTTTTTCCATTTTTTTTTTTGTAACACATTGCCTTAAAATTAATGGATTGGCATATCAATATGAATTACGCGATGCCTACTACGCATTATACAACATGTATTTTCAGTGTCGTTTGTTTGCATATGATCTGTCGATTATCACTTTTTCAGTGTTTAAAAAACAGGGGCGTTGTTCAATGCTATTCGACGCTCTAAAAATTTCCTGATTTAAAAACAAATAAAATATTAGTGGGAATAAATTGTGCTCAATGTCGTATCGGGATGGGTGGGTCTTAATAGAAATCACCTAAAAACTCCGACAAAATTCAAATTGAGTGGAAAGTGAAAGAGATAGGCTAAAAGAGTAGGAAGGATTAGAATGAGAAAAGGAAGTTGGAGGTATATAGCAAAAAAGAATTTGGTGAAAGGAGAAAGATGCAATTTTCCAAACAGGGAACTAGAAAAACTAGCCATTAATGATAATAATAACTTTTCTGCTTAAGATTTACCTTTCTGCCGTCGTCATTTCGTTAATTTTATGCTATTTTCTATCAACAGCGATAGATGTGATATCATTATTATCTAAGCTGATTATTCATAATTTTTTTTGAAAATATTTCCTTTATGGGCATTGTATGGATATATATATTTATATTTTATTAAATAATGATACATTTTATTTTATTTTTGCTATATAATAAATAAATAAATAAATAAATACATGTATATTTGTTAGTGACGAAGTCACCCAACACAATAAATAGTCCATTCTAAAATAGAACCGATATTAAGTTCAACAACATCACTATTATTATTATTATTGTGGCTTATCTGTCTGCACAATTTCATGTATCAATTTTTCCATTTTATCCATCCTTTCGGCCATTGATTTCATCAGAGTTTCATACTTTTGATTTTTATTCTCTTGAGTTACTTTCACTTCGGCAATATGATTGCACAATATACGGTTCATTGTTTTTTGAACTTCATCTGTTTGATTTATTTGATTTTCTTCATCCTTCTTTGGTTCGAAATCTTTTTCTTCGTACTTCTGCTCGAAATCTTTTTCTTCGTCCTTCTTTATCTCGAAATCTATTACTTTGCGCAGCCGGCATTGAGTCACTGTTGTTGAAGTGGCCAGAAAGTCATCAGGTGCTGGTTTCTCCTCTGTAAAGAAGGATATATTTCTTGTTAAAGAGAGAACCAATATAAATATGCATGCTTTGGCAAAGTAAAAATCGATTGGCCATTTTAACACAATAAATAATGTTTGCAGAATATTCGGAAGATAAAACCATCCAGGAACAAATAATGTAAGAAAAATCTTCAATTCAGTTACTTTTTCTAAACTCTCTGAGCCACAACTCCCACAAAATATTATAAAAAAAATGGATGCTGTAGCTAACAATATTACAAATAATGCAAGGAATATTATACTAATTGGGTCAAAAAGATTTCTAGTTGTAATAATAACAATCCAGAATGTTGGAACTATTATCGCTGGGAAAAATATCAAGAAAAAAAAGATAAAACTAAAAAAAGTTGACCTTTCAACCTCTTTTATAACCCTTCTACTCCTAATTATCGCGGCTACTGCGGAAGTTAAATGCAAAGCCATGTTTACAAATGAAAATATTTTTATACTCAGCAAATCATCATAGGCCAAAGAAACTACCAGCGGAATCACCCAAATGACAGTGTTGTATAATAAGTCATCCAGTAATGGTAACAGCACATTTTTGACGGGTCCAGTTTTCCCTGAAACATCGAATAGAACGACAAAAAATACTGGAAAGAATGCGCTAAAAATTGCATCATACACATCCTGTTTAGATTCATAATTTTCGTCGACGATAGATGCTGCTGTCACAAGTGGAAGGAGTAAAAACAAAGTCAAGATCACTTTTTTGCTTTGGTTGAATAGAAATCTTTTGTTCATATCGAATAAATACTAATTAATACTATTGAATTGTTAATAAATATCAATAAAATAAGTCTATGAGAGAAACTTTACCCTATTTATTGATTTATTAATAACTCCGGAATCATTTTCTTTTTTGGAATCATTTATTATTATGTAACTATTATGCAGTAAGCAAACTTTATTTTGATTCATTGGGATAACAAAGGCTACATAATGATCATTATTTACTTTGTCTTTGTAAAATTATACTGAGGAACAACAATATACCGAGAAATTGCGAAAATCATCAATGTGCTTTTTAATTATTTTTTAGATGGAAACAGTAACAAAAAAAAATTGTCTAAAAAAAGCACGAAAAAAGAAACGGGAAGTATTTATTTATTCCCAGAAACTAGAAGTGTCGTCAATTCTAAAGGCACACTTTCCTAATAAAATGTAAATTGTTCTTTACAAATGCGTATAAACTTTTTCTGCTGATCATTTAAATAAAAATTTTCAAAGAATTTACTGTTTTAATTAAAACAACTAAATCAAAAACATATTTTTCATCCATACAATGATTATTAATCCTAGTTAAGATGACAAATAAAAGAAATCGTAATAAGCCAAAACTGGACAAAGTCCACCTACTCCTGCTCCAGTAAAAAAGAAAATTGACAGATCTTCTCCTTCTGGTTCAGTCTGCCCTCAAGAAGACTACTACTTGATTGCTTGTATTAACTGCAATCAAACATTTGTTTATATATTAACAAATGAACATAATAATACTAATCATTGTTTTGGGCATCATAAAGACAGTAAATCTTTTACCTGTAATTTGAATTGTTCATTCAATAAGCTAACTGATTTTTGTCCCTATTCAACTTCTAAACTCACTATTAATACACCTATATAAATTATGGATACAAAATCCATCTCTTCTGACAATACAATCTCTTCCCAAGCCACTCACCAACTTCACAACTCAAAATTCCTTCCGTTATATCAAATGTTACACTTAATATTGCACATGCTGTACCAAATGTTGCACTTAATTTAGATACAAACAGAGATGATCTAATCACCAATGCCAAGCACCACCAACACTAATAAACAGGATTCATCTGATATAATTAACAAATTAAAAAAACATATGCAGAAACAATTACACCAAAAAATAAAAATAGATCAACAGATAAACCAGATCTCATCACAATGAATCTTTGTCATATAATTTTCCAAACAACAACAAATAATTCCATTCTTTTTACAACAATGTACTTCCAGGAATTCATGCATTTAAACCAGGTTTCACTACCTTTGACAAAACCATTGACACACTTTCAAATAATCTACCAAACAAATTGATTACTGAATGGAAAAATGATATTGACTATACATGGGATGGTAATTATTTTGCCAAAAACGTAATACGTAATACGTAATTAAGAAATCAATTACAGGTGACGAAATCAATTACGCGTGACGAAATTAATTACGAATGACGAAATTAAATGACACCTATTATTTATCTCGTTATACTAGTATAATGACATAATTTGTCAACTTT